TTTGATGAGTTGGGAGTGAGAACGTATTGTAGGGGATTTAAACCATGAATAACAGCCCTATATAAAGTACAGAACAGTATGGTGTCAATATATTTCGGATATATACTGTATATTGTATTGTAAGCACTTATTACCATCACCTTTTTGTAAGTCCAAGACTTTCTTTCTATTTGGTCTTGAATAAGCCTTATAATGTATTTAATCTAACTATCAATGTGCAGAAACCCAATAGCAACAGTGATGTGTCCCATCTGTGCACAGTTGATATCACAGCTAGCCACTGTCAAGCAGCTATTGACCAATCGACAGCAGTGCGATGATGTTATTACTGGTGGTCTGACTCCTACGCCTGCTCTGTCTGTCCTCAAGTCTTGGCAGATGCTCCTGTAGTTGTGTTTGCATGCTAGAAGGCCCCCTCTCTTATAAATATGGAGAAAGTGGTGCAGAGGGCCAAATGCTAAATGTGCAGTGGCACAAGGTTTGTGTTTGGAGGGTGTAGGCTTAGGACAGGCCGTGGCACAGTGACTGCTATACAAGTTAAATCTGCAACACACTCTCAAACCTGAGAGAGCAGGAGGGTTAAAGTTTGATTTAGAGAGAAAACAAACAAGTGAGTGAATAAATGAGACAATTACATCTGTTGTATGTAAACTTATGATGGTGCCTGTGTCTTATTGCTATCAATATTCAACATCAGTTTGATCAGTGGATATTCTGAAAGGCTTGCAATCATGTTTGTTCAAGCACTTCCTTGAGTATATGATGCCTTTACTGAGTGACATTTAGACATTCAAAGATGTCATGGTTTTTATGGTTGCACCATTCCATCAGATTGAAAAATTCCACTGTAGATGTCTAGGGTATTATTTTCTACACATTCCCCCACAATTATCTACAGTAACATATCAGGTATCCCTGCAAACTTTTGCAAATTAGTGCCATCGTGATCTCTATGGGAAAACTGTTCCATTAAATTTCACTTTAAATGTCAGACACTGAAATCATCCAATGGACCTTTTTCACAGCAGCCATTTTGACATGAAACAGTGGGTAAACACAGGTGTTACCAATGATACTAATTAAGGTTCTGTTTCATTCATGTCAAACTGAGTCATGGTGCTGTTATTCTACATGTTGGTTCACTAAAAACACACACTAAATGGAACCGAACCTCAGTTAGTATCATGCCAAAATGGCTGCTGCTGAAAAAGGTCTAATTAAGAGATTTACAAATAGTTAGACATACAAAACGGGTCTTATCCTGCTGCTTGTTCTCAGCTCTTTGTCCTGGAAACACTCCACAATAAACAGTCCCAGCTTAATACTGAAACCCTCAGTCTGCTGCTTATCCTCCACTTAATTAGACATGGATGGAAATGTACATGGTTGCTGGTCTACAACATGGCATGTCACAACGCATATCACTGTTGTCCAATGAAACTTCAGCAATACAGGAATGGGCTAAAAGAGTGGTAATTTCCAGAAATTTCCATTTCGACTTCTTGAGGAACTGTTTTAATGGTCTGTTCAGGGTTCTGTAATTTTCTGAACCGATGGATTAAAAATCACCAAATTTGAAATGCAGTTCATATCATCACACTCGACCTTCCATTACTAAATTCTCAGAAACTTAAAACACCTTAATCTGAACATGGCTATCAAGCTGTTTTTTGAATTACATTCATACTTGATGATTCTGCATTAGTAATCTATGTCCTGTAACACCCAGGGTCAATGCTATTCAGTGGAATTGTTCCATTAGTGTAAAGTAGCATATGGAGGTTAGTCAGTATTCTCTTTTTGATATATTATTAATAACACCATTATTAACAGTATACACCATTAGACCGTAATATCAGCAGCATGGACTCTTCCACCGTGTAGGATTCAGTGACATCTAGTAGTAAAGTTGCAGGTGGCAACCACTTTGAATACAGCTCAGCCTTCAAAGTGTGTAGGAGAAACTTCAGTGACTGCGAAACAAAAAAAAAAAAAGAGAGCCAGTGTTTGGTTTGTTCTTCTCCCCTGTTGGCCACCATGTTGAACCCAGTGTCTGAAATGGGCCAGTTTTCATTAGTACTGAGTACTAGCACCTCTGATTTTTGTCTGATATTTGAGTATTGTTTCTTCTTATTAAGTATTGCCACCTTTGGTGAGCACAGCTGTACCCACTACTGAGGCCCAGGGGGTAAGAACCTTTTCTGAGAAGTATACAATAAAAGTAAGGAAATAAGTGCCTCAAAATAGCTACTTTGATGCTTTGGTGCGTTTTCCCAAAATCCCCCGAAGTTCAGTTTTTGGACTACTGTATTTTACAACTGAGTTGCAACCTGCAACTACACCGCTAGATGCCACTAAATCCTACATACTGGACCTTTAAATGGTAACAAAGTAATATCTCTTTTAAATAAGACACTCAGAATTTACCAGCAAATACAGTTGTCCACACATATAATTCCATGTGTTGTGTAATTTAATGCAGGATGAGGTCTTTTGATTCTAATGTACCATTGTAATAAATATATAATGAATAAAATGACACTGAAATAAAAGCATTTGTCATTCTGCTTATCCTTCATCCAGCAGTCTGTTTAAGGGCCCCTTGAGTGGCCCCGTACCTCACTTTAAACCTTGTGCTGCATGTCACTCAGCTTTAACTGTTGCAGGGTAGCTGAATGTTGCATTCATCTCATGGGCAGAGTAGAATGCAGTCTTTTGTCCACTTTACCATTCAGTTTCACTGTGTGAGAAAGTACACAACCATCATTATTGCAAATACAGCTGTGTTTGAACAGATTCAAATTGCTGAGCTGCTGTCTCACTGCTGCATTCACAAGCACAATCCCCCCACGATGACTTTAATTAATACCCGTTTGGGAGAATGTGTTGCTCCAGTTGAGCTGTTTCTGCTATAAATTCACCAAACAGATTCTATATCAGGCTGCTTGACAACTGTTTACTTCGCAAGTAGATCAAGAAGCGATGCACAGGGCTTTTTATGTGAAGATTAGCAAGCTGGAGAAAATGCTACACAAGTGATATTGGCAGTGTTGATCTTGGCAAGGAAGAAGCCCCCAGAATTGCTTTTGGCATGCAGAAATGTGTTCCCCAACACTGCAAATTATGTAAACACATGCATATAAAGACAGTTTCTATGTACATGCACACACAAAGCCACAATAATGTGCTCCCTCTGCACACACACATTTGCTGTGTGCCTTAATGCGTCATGCCTCCACATCACCATGACAACAGATAGCACCTGACTGTTTGACCAGTTTTCTGTGTGTGTGTGTGTGTGTGTGTGTGTTCGTTCTCATTGGTTTTCACCAAGCAACAACGCATCATCCAAGTCCATTTCACAGTATTATTGACTAGAGGCTGCAACCTGGTTATCACATCAACACAAATAAGAGACTGACAATATACTTTTCGTTCATCACTTTTACTTTAGAGATCTGTGTGTGTATCTGAAGTCTCTCAATATGTATGTAGTAATTAGCTAGTACAATGAATGGATTATTAGGGAATTAATTTTAATTATAAAAAATACATCCCAGGACTAAAACCAACAATTAATTGATGGTACTAACAAGGATAGTGTGTCTGATGTATCTTACTCCTCTGTGCCATAGAACTCCATTGATGTCCAAAAACTATTAAAAACACATCAGTGAGCCACACTGCTGCAGTGGATGACATACTCCTTCATTAACACACATACTGGAGTTTATTTTGCCTCAAACCCACATACAACATCCTGCTGCCAGACACACTCACCCAAATATGGATTAATGCATGAATTAAAATAACAAAGGTGGGACAATATAATTGTTTTGCAAGTCTCAAGTCTTGGCCATAAAGTCTGAAGCCAGACCAAGTTGTGTTTTAAGTTCTAAACAAGTCTTTATGGAACTCTGAACTGCAACTTCTGCTGCACACCACACAAAGGGCACAGTGATTTCATGTTTGCAAACTATTAGCCTGTAGCTAATGTTAACTTAAGTCATATCTGTCCCATGAACAGTAATGATCATCATAAAATATATATCATAAAAGTGAAAAATTAATTAGCTATATAGTTGACATTTTTAATCTTTGGGCTTTCGGAAGATATCAAGTCATTCCAAGTCAGGAGACACTGGTGTTAAAGTCAAAGTTGATGGGAACCCCAGTAGCTTTTATTTTAGACATAGTGATAATAGACGTTCAGCAAAAAAAGACATGTATTTGAAAAAAATTTTGATTTGGAAATAAAACAATGTATTGATTTAATTTATTTAATTGAATGTTTCAGTTCAAATATCTTCATTGGGGGAGATTAAATCAGCATATATGTCTGCCACCCCTTAAAGTCTCCACCCTCTAGTAGTACAACAAACATACATTGCTACATACAGGAAATGGATTTATATTTAATTATGCATAATAACAGAAAGAAATGCATGTGAGCTGTGTGTCGATAGGCAGGGGAAAAAGTTCTGATGAATCATAGCTCTGACTGACCAGAGGTCATACTTTACCCATCTACTCATTCCTCCAGTACATGAGGCCTTGAGCTGTTGTGTTCAGGAGTGATAATTACAATCTCTGTTTTGCTTGTATTTGAACTGCAATCCACAAATGAATGTCTTTAAAACTTTCGAGAGTGCCCGTTTACAGAAGACTATTTGCAGGGTGGCAACTTTGAGTTCTCATAAATAAAAGATGGTGTCACAGACTTTATACGTACAAGTTAAAGTAATTCAAGCAGTATTATTCTACGTAATGTGTATAATGTATTGATACATGTAATTATTTTCTCATGCCCACATGTTTTACTACAGATACAAATTCCCAGAGAAATGCTGACATAAGAAGGTTACTGTAATAATCTCAATTGTTAATTGTGAGGGAGATTAACAGTCAGCTCTACACTGTCTTTACTGAATTTGATTCAAAGCTTTAATCTTCTGCAGTCTGTGCCCCCCAGCCTAACTCAGTATTTCTGTCTCTCACAGATGCAGATCTACATGTACAACTCAGATGACTTCGACAGCCTTGGTGCAGCGCTCAGGGAGAAGAGGATCATCGCAGCCATGGCTGTGTTTTTTCAGGTAGGAACTTTTTTTTACCAAGTCAGTTTGCGTTTGTGTACTCTTACAAAAAGATGAGGAAGAGGCCAGCTTTGTTTGGTCTTTCCTTGTAGAATTTGGACTTTTGTGGTTTGAGAATTCACCCTAAAATGAAACTGTCATTGTCTGTTTATCATTGGGTCAGAGTTTGTGAGCTACAGCAGCTCTGTATCATTATCTTAAACCTGGTTACTGCATTGGATCTACCCGGTAGGTATGGCTTCGGCTACGTATGCCTACCTGCATACTTAGGGGTGCGCAATCTACAGTGTAATTTTCAGGCGAGACTACAGTATTTAATGTCTTCTCACTTTTCTTTCCAAACTTCATATAATCTCAATGCCTAGCGAATCTGTGCAACATGAACAAACCAACTAGATAGCTGTATGGATTGGATGAATTACTTCACTTGGCTCTTCCTTGGGAGACGTATTACAAACTAAAATTGAATGATGAATTTGAAAATCTCTATAATAGACTAGAATAGAGTTAAGTACTTGAAACATGCTTCTGTTTACAACTTTAAATTAAACTGTAGTTTTAATCACCATTTTGAAACAGATCAATTTAGATTTTGGATTGTAACTCAGATGTTTTAAGTAACTGTCACTCAGGAAACCATTTCATTTTTATATGTTGATCATATATATGTATATAAATATTTGTTAATGTATTAAGTATATATTGCTAAGATGACATAAAAGATGGTTAAGTCAGAATAAAGATTTAGGATGGTTTATGGTCAAAAGTCAATAAATGTCATTGTATACTCCCTTCAGAGTGTGTATTTTAATCGTATTATTGCTGCTGGTTTGTCTGGAAGGAGTGTTGGCATGGGGTGCAAGCTGTAAAAACCTGTAGATCAAGATCAAACCACCATCAGCCACCAATAAAGTCCTCTGGCCTGTTGAGTGGAGCTGTGGGTGGACTGGGATCATTGTCAGCTCTGTCACTCTCCATTGGCAGGAATAAAAAGTTCATTGAGGCCATCGATTAACTAAGTGGGCTTTTACTTGGACCATGAACCCCCAGTTAATATTTCCTCCTCTCACTTCAGTCTCTCTCGCTCACTCTGTGTGTGTCTACAGTCTCTCTTTCACTCCCTTGCTCTAGCCTGTAGATGTCTCATGACAATAATAACCATCATTGATGAATGGTAAATTGAGAGTTATTTCACTGTTAACAATGACATGATAATGAATATTTTTTACTAATTATTAGTAATGGTATAATGGTATTCTATCATTAGTTTATGTAATATAAAATAATTAGGTTTATAAATTATATATTATATCACAGCTGATAAGAGACAATGGGCCTGATGCAAGAAGCGATATTCAAACAAATTGTCTCTTTTTTTTGTTTTTATCCATGATTTACCAATGTTTTCTTTGGGGGCGTTACCTATACTAATTTCGAAGAATTGGTCACACACCTCCAATTTAAGATCAAGTGGGATTCACCATTCAGTACACCTGGGTGAGAGCAGCTATAGATGGTTAAGAACATTCTGAAATTTAAGAGAATGTTGCTGCATGAGGCCCAATGACAATTAAATTCAGATAACATTAGTACATTTTTCATTAACAGTTTATTGTTGCACACTATAACATTTTATATAATATATTAAATATTTGTGAATGATGGCCAAATGATTGTAATGTAAACCTTTAAGAAATCTTTTGGAAAACATATAAAAACATAGATAAATGGACCAGATATATGTGTTTGTAAAATCATCATTACATTACATTATTAATAAATATTAATGGGATGGATATTATAAAGTTGCAACTGATGATTTTAATACCTTGTTAAATGTTATTTTACAATAACCATCCAGATAATATTTATAGATGGTTTAACAACCCATTATTAACCATTAACAAAGTATTAACTATCTATCTAAATAATGTTTATAGATGCTTTACAAACAATTTCTTATAGGTTTACAAATCATTGGTTATCATTCACAAATACTACATAGTATATAAAATGGTATGTGTGGGACAATATATTGTTAATGAATAGTTAACTAATGTTGTCAAAATGTAATTGTATATCAGCTATGATACAATTCATAATTTTGTAAACTAATTATTTTATATGACACAAACAAAAGATAAAATAACATGTTTTCCTTTTCAGTAATTGTACCTTACAGGGTTAGGGTTAGGGGATATGTTTAGTGTAGAGGGTGGCATTAGCAGGAAGGGTCAGCGGGGTAAAGGAATAATTGTCTGGAGGACTGTATGTCACCAAAAAAATGAGTAAGCAGTTGGCAGGAGTGGATGGATTTGCAGTTATGGCAAAAGAGAGGATGGAGGAGATGAGTAGGCAGATGGGGAAATTGGTTGCTTCGAAGCAGCCAGATGAAAAGGCAGAAAAAAGCTCACTTTATTTTGAAAAGCAGCCAAAACCGCTTACTGACAGGTAAGTGTGGTTGTCCTCCAGTATAGGAGTCATTCTATCTGTTCTTTCAGTTCCCTTCCCCTCTGCCACCCTTCTGATTTATTACGCACACACTTTCCTCTGAACCCGACGCTGCCGCGCAGTTGCAGCCTGCGACCTCAAAGATTGATTTGAACCTGCGCCCTCGATAACTTGGCTCTCACAGATTGATCTTGACAGGTTGTGCTTGTGTTTTTGTTCCTATGCAAAGAAGTGTGTGTGGGTGCTGGCCTCAAGACTGCTTTCTTCAGTCATCCAGGTGCCACTTGCTCTCCTGCTCCGCTCACATGCTTCAGTTTGTCTTTTGTAACCTCAGAAGATGGGCTCAAACTGTGTGGGGGTGTGTGTGTTTGTGTACAGGAGGCACATCCAATAGTTATTTGCTTTGAGATAAAAAATATAGCTGTATTATGTAGTCCATGTAGCACGCATATACAGACATTTCTCGGAAGATCTGTATGTGTAACACAAGTGGTTGCATTTGGCAGCAGCTGGGCTTCAGGTATGTGGAAGCTAAATCAAGTAAAATGTGAGCATTTCACTCAAGTTACAATCAAACCAGATTACCTTTCACTTAGTCTCAGTTTGCCCTCACCATGCAGTTTGTTTGAGAGGATCACAGTCATACATATCATGTGAATAAAAAAGCTGTTTGCATGTGTCCAAAAGTGGTGGCAGAAGTAGAAAGAGGCTCTCAGCCCCGTCATTACAGCCTGTTTTTATTTGACCAACACATATTTATTATTGAGTAAACTGGGATGACATGACGTGACATATTTTATGGATATTTCATATTTTATTCAATGCATAACAATACCAGTACAGAACATCTGACAAACTGCAGGAAATGTGTTGTTTTGTTTAAAACAAGTCATTTGGATGAATTTTAAGGAGATTATTTCCTGTGATATTTTTAAGAACTTTTAAAACAATTCTGTATCAAGCTTGCTGCGTTTGCATTGATGCATTTTTATCTCTCCAGTACTTTTGGCTTTGAGAGTTAAAATAAACATTTTGAGCCTGTACATTTTAACTGTGAGCCAGTGTTTGTGTGTATGTATGTGTGTGTGTGTGTGTGTGTGTGTGTGTGTGTGTGTGTGTTTGGCAGGGCCTAGAGTTTTCCTGTTTGTGTTGACGCTGATGTGTTGCCGTTGAGAGAGAAGCTCTCCTCCTGGACTGATGAGTTTTAATGTGTCCTTTGCCAGGCTGTACAGCAGCCTCCCACACAGCTCTCCACAGACACAATAAAGGCCTAAGTGGAAGTAAAGTAGCTTTAGCTTAACAGTTCATTTTTACCTCCATTTTCATTAAAATGGCTGAATGAAAAAAAATATAAAAATTGCAGGCAAAGTATTTCCTACCCAGCAAAAGTGTACGTTTAAAATGCAGTCTAGTATTTTAATGTTAGTAGAGCAACAATGAGTCGATTAGTTGCCAATTACTAAATTAATTGGCAAAATTATTGAAAGAATAATCAATAAGGAAAATAATCTTTAGCTATAGCCCGAAATGTTGAAATGCTGTATGAGCTGTTTTCACTGTGTCGCTGTCCAACATGCCCATAGACATTACACCAATTAGAGACTGCAGATGGAACAGATATCTGCTGCCTTCAGATGGCTGTAAAGAAAAAGGCCGCCTGTATAGACATAGACATGTTGTAGATTGCAGAGCTCATCAATTCAATTTTATTAATTCAATTTTATTCTGTCTGACTGGCATTAAAGGTCCAGTGTGTAATATCGAGGAGGATCTATTGTCAGAAATGGAATATAATATTCATAGGTATGTTTTCATTAGTGTATAATCACCTGAATATAGGAAGGTACCGTATAAGGTACCGTTACCCAAAACTGAAAAAATGTACATTTCAGAATTATACCAATTCCCACAGGTGTCCCAAATTGTTCTGACTACTTACAACCCCCTCTGTCTGCATAAAAGTAGTGGTGGAACACACTGTGGTACCACACCCTCATGAGCATTATTTGAACAGTATTGTACTGCAGAAAGTAGTGTGTTGCTATAAAAATGGCGAGAAAAAGGCAATTAACAATGGAAGAGAGACAGACAATGATAACACTTCCAAATATAGGTCTTACCTACAGAGAAATTGGGAAGAAAGTCAATGTGTCAGTGAGTACAGTCTCCCTTACCATTTAAACTGGGGAAACTCTGACAGGAAGAGGTCTGGCAGACCGATAGCCACAACAGAATCAGACGACGTTTCTGAGAGTCAACAGCTTCCGTGATAGGCGGCTCACAGGAGAACAGCTTCAAGCTCAGCTTAATAGTGGTCGTAATAAGCAAGTCTCAGTTTCAACTGTAAAGAGAAGACTTAGAGCTGCAGGTTTGACAGGTCGAGTTGCAGCAAGAAAGCAATTGCTAAGATGCCAGAATAAGAATAAGAGGCTTGCCTGGGCCATGAAACACCCCCAATGGACTACTGAAGACTGGAAGAAGGTGTTATAGACTGATGAATCAAAATTTGATTGATTTCATCGCGCAAATTTTTTGTACGCTGTCAAGTA